CTCACTATTGGCAGATGATATAATAGTATACACAAGTGACCCCAAAAATTCTACCAAGGAACTACTGCAGCTGATAAACAGCTTCAGCAAAGTGACTGGATAAAAAAATTAACAAATAAAAAAATAACTAAAATTTCAGTAGCTCACCTGTATAAAAAAGACAAGTGGGCTGAAAAAGAAATTAGGGAAACAACAACCTTTACAATAGCCACAAAAAAACCCAAAAAAAAACCAAAGTATCTTTGTATAACTCTAAAAAAAGCATGTGAAACACTTATATGAAAAATTGTCAAGTCTTTGAAGAAGATATCAGAAGATGGAAAGATTTCCCAAGCTCATGGATCATTAGGATTAACATACTGAAATCTGTATACCTAAAGAAGATAAACAAGAAAGAAGATCCAGGGTAAGATGATCAACCCTCACTTAGAAAGACAAATGGAATGGACAACGATGTAGGAGAAAACAAGTAACATGACAGGAGCCTACCACAGAGGGCCTCTGAAAGACTCTACCTAGCAGCATATCAAAGCTGATCGGAGACTCACAACCAAACCTTTGGCAGAGTACAGGGACTCATATGAAAGAAGGGGAGTTAGTATGACCTGGAGAGGACAGTAGCTCCACAAAGACCAAATACATCTGGGTACAGGGGTCTTTTATGAGACTGTATCTCCAACCAAGGACCATGTATGGATATAACCTAGAACCCCTGCTCAGATATAGCCCATGGTAGATCAGTATCCAAGTGGATACCCTAGTAAGGAGAACAGGGACTATTTCTGACATGAACTCAATGGCTGGCTCTTTGACACCCCCCTCCAAGGAAGGAGCATCCCTGGTAGGCCACAGAGGAGAATTTTGCAGGAAGGCCTGAAGATACATGATAAGCCAGGGTCAGATGAAAGGGGAGGAGGTCCTCCCCTATCAGTGGACTCAGAAAGGAGCAGGGATAACTTGAGGGAGAGAGGGTGGGATTGAAAGGGAATGAGGGAGTGGGATACCACTGGGATACAAAATTAATAAACTGTAACTAATATTAAAAAATAAAAAATTAAAAAAATGAAGAACATACTCTAAACATGTAAGAGTTTATTGTATTGGTTGAAGTTTTTTCATTAAACATAGCAGGAACAGAAATCTCCCACACATGTGTAAACTAAATAAGAGCATAATAAAAATGTAATAATGAAAATGTTAAAAAAAATTAAAAAATTGAGTACAGAGCTATACAGATAATTCTCTAAAGAGGAATATTGAATGGCAGAGAAACGGTTAAAAATATTCTTAATGTTCTCAGTCATTAAGGAAATGCAAATCAAAATTACTGTGAGATTCCATATTAAACCTATTAGAATGGCTAAGATCAAAGACTCAAGTGACAGTACATGCTAGAGAGGATGTTGGGAAAGGAGAATACTCCTCCATTGCTGGTGAGAGTACAAACTTGTACAACCACTTTGGAAATCAATCTGGCACTTTCTCAGAGAACTGAGAATAGTGGTACCTCAAGACCCAGCAATACCACTCCTGGGCATATACCCAAAATATGCTTCACCATACAACAAGGACACCTCCTCAGCTATGTTCATAGCAGCTTTATTTATAACAGCCAGAATTTGGAAACAACCTAGATGTCCCTCAACCTAAGAATGGATTTAAAAAAAGTTCTGATACTCCAACCAAGTACCATGCATGGAGATAACCTAGAACCCCTGCACAAATGTACCCATGGCAGTTCAGTATCCAAGTGGGTTCCATAGTAATGGGAACAGGGACTGTCTCTGAATTGTTTGGCCTGCTCTTTGATCACCTCCCACTGAGTGGGGAGCAGCCTTACCAGGCCACAGAGGAAGATAATGCAGCCACTCCTGATGAGACCTAATAGACTAGGATCAGAGGAAGGAAAAGAAGACCTCCCCTATCAGTGGACTTGGGGAGGGCATGTGCGGAGTAGGGTGAGGAAGGGAGAGATTGGGATGGGAGGAGGGAGAGAGCTAAGGGGGTGAATAAAGTGTAATTAATACAAAAATTTAAGAAAAGTTCTGGTGCATTTCTGCAATGGAATACTGAAAACAAAGAAAATTAAAACAAGGCTATTTAAAACAAGGAAATCATGAAATTTGCGAGCAAATGGATAGAACTAGAAAAGAACATCCTGAGTGAGGTAACCCAGACACACAAAGACACACATGCTCTATACTCATTTATAAGTGGATATTAACTGTATAGTACAGGATAACCATACTAAAATCTACAGACCTAAAACAGATAAATAACCAGGAGGACTCTAGGGAAGATGTTAATTCTCATTCAGAAGGACAATTAGGATAAATGCAGGAAGTGGTTGAAGAGAAGGAAGTGGACAAGGGCTTACCATAGATGTCCTCTGAAAGACTCCACCCAGCATAGGATTGAAACAGATAATGAGACTCCCAGCCAAACTGTGGCCAGAGCACTTATGAAAAGAGGTCCTGGAGGGTGGGTGGAATAGAAGGACTGGTAGTGGACAGGAACTCCACAAAGAGACCAACAAAGTCAACAAATCTGGGCCCAGAGACTGATGCACCAACTAAGCACCATGCTTGGAGAGGACCAAGACCCCTTGCTGAGATGTAACACATAAGCAGCTCAATATCCATGTGGGTTTCCTAGTTAGAGGAGCAGGAGCTGTCTCTGACATAGACTCTGCTATCTATTCTTTGGTCACTTCTCCCTGGCAGGGCAGCCTTGCCAGGCCACAGAGAAAGGAGATACTATAGTCCCTATGAAATAAAAACAAAACAACACCACAAAAACCAAAAACCTGTTGTTGGAAATAAAATGGTATTGGTATAAATATCATTTATTATTAACCGTATAATTATTACAATGGTATTATTTAATCTGTCATCACAATCAATAAGACACAAACACCTGTTAGATTTTATAACTGCCTTATTTACCTTGGGCTGGGCTGATATTTCATCCAGTAACCTCACCATCCTCCTTCCAGCCCCTATCCAATGCCATCCACCTTAACCATTCTTATCTGGGCTACCTTCCATCCATATTCTTATAGGTACTTGCTTGTATTCTTCATCTGGGCCTTTCCACTCCATTATTTGAGTCCTTCTTCTTGGCCCATCTCCATGTTAACCCATCTTGGCATCTGTCTATCTGTCTATCTCTTCCCCATGATTCTCCTGTCCTGAACACCTAGGAACCTTAGCCATGCCTACCTCCTTCTGCCCTGCCCAGGTACAGGCTTTTTTATTAACCAATCAGGAATAATATCTTAGGCAGGTTTATACAACAAGGATAGGGCATTAACCAGATCTTGAGGGCCAGTAATTGGTATCAAAATACAAGCATCAGAACAACCTTCACCAAAACCCCAATCCAGGGAATTATGTGGTGATGTTTGTCCAGTGTTACATCAAGAAACCACTTTAAGAAATTGGCAGTTTTCGTATTACCCATACGTGTGTATCAGTAAAATGCTCTTTACTCACATTCCCATTTTACACCCTCTTTGTCTTGCTCCTCTGTTCACCACTTTTTCATGCAGCAACTTGTTCTTCTCTATAAAACATTACACACTCTGCATCATCCACACTAAACTTGGCTCACTTTCCTGTCATGACCCTAGAGTTTACATTCTCTCATTATGAAAAACAGAATCTATACTGCTTCTTTACCATATAGAGTCTGTATTCACATCATATTTTTAAGCAATGGGCTTCATTTCAGTGCCCTTTTACCTCTGGTTACTCAGCAACAAGTGTGCTTTGCTCTTACTCTGTGCTCTTGTTAAACTATGAACTGAAAAAGGAATGTGTTTGTCTGTTCTATCATTATCATTTACACTAGTGATTTTTTTTATTTGTAGGTGATGGATGACTCATTAAGTAAACGAATGCATGAGGCACCACCTTCAAGAAATTGGAGGGGTTTGTTAGCACATAATAAATGTGTAAAACTACCCACAACTTTTATTGGTCAGATAAGCAGAACATACACAAGTGGCACAGTTAGTTAAAATGGTTTTCACATAAAATCTAGACAGAACCTCTGATAAATCTATTAAAATCATCTACATTGAACACTATAATTCTTCAAGGGCAGTGGAAAGTCAGTTGTGTTTCTGACAAGCCACAGGGTGTCCCTTAGGGACCTCTACTCATATTTGCTTGGGATCTGGACTTTTGTCACAGAAAATGATTTCAGAGTGCATCAAAAACGGTATTTTTAAAAAATAATAGTCCATAAACAAGTAGCTGGATGTGAACATCTCAAGAGAGCATGGAGCATATATACATTTAGCATGTGTGTGTGTCCCTACAGAGGCTTTCAATGTTATATTCTTCAACGAATGCAACCAGAATGGAAAATTAAGCAAAGTTTAAAAATTAGGTTGAAAAGCATGAGTTGCTTTTCTTGATTCTCTCGTGGTGGGCACTCATTTCTTTTGTGAGTGAAATGTTGGGGTGGTGTATGTTGTGTGTTATTTGTATTTACAGATGAGAGAAGAGTCCTAACCAAGTAAAGAAGTGAATGAAATTTTTGCTTTTTGTTTTGTTTTGTTTTTGCTTGACAATTGAAGTAGAGGGGCCCACTCTTCAATGGGCAATGCCATCCCTATGCAGGTAGGCTATCTAAGAAATGTAGCTAATGGAGGAGGTAAGCCAATTTCTCCATGGTCTCTGCTTCACTTCCTGCATCCAGGTTCTTATCTTGAGTTCCTGCCTTGATCATTTGTGTGTGTGACAATATATATATATGCAAACTCTCTCCCTTTCAGTTTTGGTGAGAACTTTGTTGAAAATTAATATTCTAATTTTTAAAAAGTGGATTGCAATAAAAGTTAATTTAAGTGATCTAATATTTTAAAATCAGGGGGCAGGGGATTAAATGTCTTGAACGAGTCCACTGCCAGGACAAATAAAAACTCCCTAATGACAGAGGCTATGGGAATGATACTTTAGGATCCCATGGAGGTTTAAGAACAATGAGACAACCCCTTTAGCAATGGGTAAAGAGACACCTTATTGGTAGTGTTGTTCTTATATCAGTCTGGGGCAAAGCAGATGGCAGTCCTTTGTTCATCCTGCCTGATGCCTGACCTGTGGCCAAAGATGTTTTAAGCCTAGGATATGTAAAAGTCAAATCAAATCAAATCCAGGAAGCATAGAATGGGAGGACGAAGACAGGCAGAGGCCTGTGTTCTTCCATGCTGCAGCGGAAGGGCTGAGAAAGACACCCACAGACTTGCCCTCTGCTCACTGCAGTCCATAGACACACTGAGCCATGCCTAGCGCCATGCAGTGCATGGAGCTGGAGATTCAAGTGTGGAGATGAGTGTGCTGTTTGTTATAAGTGGTCAACCCCTCCACCTGAGGTCATGGTGAGGTCCCAGCCTGAGCTCACTCTGAGGGTCATGTCTGTGTTCATATTACCACTAGATTATATGAAGATGTCCCTAGTCAGGACAGCCCCCCTGGACCAAGTAGATGTCCAGGGACTGTGCATAACCGGCCCTGCCCCTCACTGACTGCAGTGCTCTGGAGAACTGGCTCCACCTTCCACAGGTGGCAATAGTTCAGAGAGCAGGCCCTGCACCTCCCACAGACAACACAGTGTAGGTAGCCCTGGTGGCAGGGGTGTGGGTAAGCCAGCACCAGGGCCGTGAGTGTGGAAGAGCTGCCCCTACCACTCACCACACATGTACTCTGGGGTGACACAGAGGTATGACTGCCTCCCCTCACCACCTCCAGCTGCCCACAGTGTCATGAGTGAGGGAGAGCTAGCCTAGCCCTGACCCTCACCAGCTGGAGCATTCGGGAGAACAGCCCATGCACCTCTCCTTGGCAGCACAGTAGACCTGGCCCTGATGGGGAGGGAGGAGACAGCCCCAAGGATGAGAGCATGTATGAATCCCTGCTACCTGTTTCCTGTGAGATGCTGTGGGTGTGAGGGGTGACACCCTCTCCACTGCCCCCTCACAACCTGCAGCAGTTGGAAGAGCAGCATCCAAGAGTGTGAGAGTGGGAAAGCCGTCCCAGCCCCTCACAGGCTGTAGCACTTGGGAGAGTGGATACCAAGCCTTGACTGGGTAGCACAGTGGAGCTGGCTCTGGAAGCTGGGTTGTGGGGGAGCCAGACCTGAGGGCATGAGAACAGGAGAGCTGCTTCTGCCTCTTGCTGATGGCAAGGGGAGGTGGCCTACCTGGAGCAGTGCTGGAGAGCTTGCTGTCGCACTGACCAGCTCACAACCATGCAGGCCCAGATCCACAGTTCTGAATTGGCCCACCTATATGATCTACAAATGGTTGGGACACTTGAAAGGGTCAGTCCTGCTAATCCAAACCTGTGGGAGCTCATTGACACAGGACAACAGGGAAGAGTCCTAGAGTGAGGATCCAATATTGATGGTGTCACAGATGCCAGGGATCTCAATCCAGACCAATGACTCATTCCATTTTCATTTGCAAATGAGAATGTGTGTACAGAGTGACATACTGAGGAACACACTGTGAAACACTGCAGCTTCCAAAACAAGATATTTTCTATGCTTTGTTTTTTTTTTTTTCCTTTTGTTTGTTTCTGTGTGTGTGTGTTTATTTTGGGTGGGGGAGGTTGCAAGAGTGAAGGGTGGAAATAAAAGCACTGGGAGATGAGCAGGACTGAGATGCATAATGTAAAACTCAAAAGGAATCAATAAAAAGTTATTTTAAAAAGCAAATAAAAAAGAGACAAAGACCATCAAAGGAGGGAAATATATATACATGTATATATCCTATAGATATCCTCTGATCCTCTGACACTGTATATATATATAATATATATAAAATATATATTGATACATATTCAACATTTTTTATTTTTAAATGATTTCATACATTTAAAAATAAAATGTAGCTGTAGCCCTCTCCCTCTTTCCCTACCAATCCTCCCCTCCCTTCCTCATCTCCTCCCTGCCCCCTTCCTAGTCCACTGAGAGGGGGTGTCCTCCTCTCCTTCCATCTGGCCCTAGCTTCTCAGGTATCTTCAGGATGGTTGCAATGTCCTTATCTGTGTTCTAGCCAGGCTGCTCCTCCCTCGGGAGGCGGGGGGAGCTCATGAGTTCATGTCAGAAACAATTCCTGTCCCCCTTACTAGGGAACCCACTTGGATACTGAGCTAGCATGGGCTATGTCTGAGCAGGGGTTGTAGGTTATATCCATGCATGGTCCTTGGTTGGATAAACAGTCTCATAGAAGACCCCTGTGCTCAGATATATTTGGACCTTGTGAGGCTCCCTGTCTCCTCTAGGTTATATTAATTCCTCCTTCCTTCATATGATTCCCTACACTCTGCCGAAAGCTTGGTTATGAGTCTCAGCATCTGCTTTGATACACTGCTAGGCAGTCTTTCAGGTGCCTTCTGTGGTAGGCTACTGTCCTGTTACTTGTTTTCTTCTATTTCTAATGTCCATCCCTTTTGTCTTTCTAGATGAGGATTGATCATCTTACCCCTGGACCTCTTTCTTGTTCATCTTCTTTAGGTGTACATATCTTAGTATATTTTTCCTATCTTATAGGTCTATATAAGTGAGTATATACCATGTGTGTCTTTCTGCTTTTGGGATACCTCATTGAGGATGAATTTTTCTAGATCCCACCATTTGCCTGCAAAATTCATGATTCCTTGTTTTTAATTGCTGAGTAGTATTCCATTGTGAAAAAGTACCACAATTTCTGTATCCACTCCTCCGTTGATGGACATATGGGTTGTTTACAGGTTCTGGCTATTATGAATAAAGCTGCTACAAACATGGTTGAGCAAATGTCCTTTTGTGTACTTGAGCATCTTTTGGATATATGCCTAGGAGTGGTATAGCTGGATCTTGAGGTAGCACTATTCCTAATTGTCTGAGAAAGCACCAGATTGATTTCCATAGTGGTTGTACCAGTTTACATTCCCACCAGCAGTGGAGGAGGGTTCCCCTTTCCCCACAGCCTCTCCAGCATGCGTTGTCTCTTGAGTTTTTGATCTTAGCCATTCTGATGGGTGTAAGGTGAAATCTTAGGGTCATTTTGATTTGCATCACTCTGATGGCTAAGGATGTTGAACATTTCTTTAAGTGTTTCTCTGACATTCTCTATTCTTCTACAGAGAATTCTCTGTTTAGCTCCATACCCCATTTTTTAATGGGATTACTTGAATTATTGCCTTTGAACTTCTTTAGTTCTTTATATATTCCAGATATCAGCCCTCTGTCAGATGTTGGGTTGGTGAAGATCCTTTCCCAATCTGTAGGCTGTCGTTTTGTTCTAATGACAGTGTCTTTTGCTTTACAGAAGCTTTTCAGTTTCATGAGGTCCCATTTATTGATTGTTGCTCTTAGGGCCTGTGCTGATGGTGTTCTGTTCAAGAAGTTGTCTCCTGTGTCAATGAGTTCAAGGATCTTCCCCACTCTTTCTTCTAACCAATTTAGTGTGTCTGGTTTTATATTGAGGTCTTTGATCCACTTGGACTTTAGTTTTTTTGCAGGGTGGTAAATATGGGTCTATTTTCATTTTTCTGCATGTAGACATCCAGTTGGACCAGCACCATTTGTTGAAGATGCTGTCTTTTGTCCATTGAATGGTTTTGGGTTCTTTGTCAAAAATCAAGTATTCATAGATGTGTGGGTTTATTTCTGGGTCTTCTATTCAGTTCCCTTGATCCACCTTTCTGTTTCTATGCCAGTACCAAGCAGTTTTTATTACTATTACTCTGTAGTACAACTTGAGATCAGGAATGGATATACCTCCAGAGGATCTGTTGTTGTTCAGGATTGTTTTGGAAATTCTGGGTTTTTATTTTTCCATATGAAATTGAGAATTTTTCTTTCAAGGTAGGTAAAGAATTGTGTTGGTATTTTGATGGGAATTGCATGGAATCTGTAGATTGCTTTTGGCAGGATGGCCATTTTCATTATGTTAATCCAACCGATCCATGAGCATGGAAGATCTTTCCATCTTCTGATGTCTTCTTCAATTTGTTTCTTCAGAGACTTGAAGTTTTTTCCAAATAGGTCTTTCACCTGCTTGATTAGAGTCACCCCAAGGTACTTTATGTTATTAGTGGCTATTGTGAAGGGTGTTGTTTCCCTGATTTCTTTCTCGGCTCTTTTGTCTTGGGTATACAGGAGGGCTTCTGATTTTTTTTTTAAGTTAATTTTGTCTCCAGCCACTTTGCTGAAGGTGTTTATCAGCTGAAGGAGTTCTCTGGTTGAGTTTTTAAGCCTGCAGTATATGATATACATATATCATACATATACATATATCATATACTCCAGGTTTAAAATATATAAAATATATATACATATGTATGTATCCCAAATCTGTAGGTGGATCCTGCTGTGATGGCACTCACTGAATAGAAAAATATCTCTGTATGCTCCTAATGGGGTGGGTGAACAGCCACGGACTTGGGATTCTGACTTCTGTCATATGTATATACTTTCAGAATCCTATGTGTCTCTCCTGGTATGCAACAGATGCTCCACAGACATCTGAAATTTCACTGCCTCCTTAGGACTTGTTGCTAAAGCTGGCCTCAGAGTTTATTCTTAGCAAGAAGTGGACGTCTCAGGACTTTCTTCTTTTACACCATGCACATGACTGCTATTAGTTTGGAATAAAATTCTGCAAGCAACTATTTTAGATTTTCAGAGAAGACCATGAACTTCATTGAGTGGGTAGCTATGAGTCTCAAAAATCAAATTTTGTTAGACTTTGGTTCAATGATACAGACTCTTAACATTTCTAAAAGCTTGGAAAAAGACACAACTCAAGTATGGAATCAGATAACCTTAGGCTTAATATGAGCAGTCTGAGAAAATTCCTTCATCAAATGCCATCACAAATTCTTGTGATTTAATATTATTTCTTATTAACAGTATCTAACATGGTAGACACTAATCACATATGACTATTGAGCCATTGAAATGTAACTGGGAGGAATATTGAAATTATTTTTGATTTAAATTTAGTATCTAATTTTAGCTATAGCTATCATTTTGGACAATTTTCTTTGTAGTTCATAATATTCAGTTGTGGTATTATTAATGTATATGTACATATGTGGATACATACACTATACGCATTCACACATACAGTAATGTGCTTGCTGAG